TGGTGCTCCCTCTTTGCCGTTCCAGATCACGGCGGTGGCTAGGATTGCAGACCACCGACGGCGTATGAATGAGAGATGAGAAAAGAGAGAAAAAAAGAAAAGAAAAATGAAATATTAATTGGTCTATTTTGTAATGAATTAATAAATTTAAAAATAACAATTTTTATATTATTAATTGTAATGAAAAAAATTTATTGATATAAATGAAACAAAATACATGAACATTAATTGATATAAATTTATTTCAATTAAATAACTTCTTTGGTATTGTAATAAATAAATAAAGGAAAAATTACACCAATAGTCCCTATAGTTTGTGTCACTTTAGTCACTGACTTTTCAATTGTGACATATAAAATATAAGGACAATTAACATATCACTACTTAATTTCAAGGGTAAAATCATTAATTTGATAAAATATAAACTAATTTGACAAAAATAAATGTCAAAAAAATATTTTAAAATTTTTAAAAATTATTTTAAAATTTTTAAAAATTATTTATGCCCACCAAAAATAAAATTATGTAAAAGTAATAACAATTAGTAAAAATTACATGATTAATTTTTAAAAATTAATTTTACATGATTATCATCCAAATACATAATAAAAATTAATTTGGTAAAATAAATAAATAAATGTCTAAAATATTTATCAATTTTATATAATTTTATCTTTAGTAGGTAGAAATAATTTTTAAAAATTTAAAAATAATTTTGTAACATTTATTTTTGTCAAATTAATTTATATTTTATCAAATTGACGATTTTGCCCTTGAAAAATCCAATAGTATCTTCAATTGTCCTTATTTAAAACAAGATTCAAAATTCAGGGTCAAATATGTCACAATTGAAAAGTCAAGAATCAAAATGACACAAGTTGCAAACTACAAGAATTATTAGTGTAATTCACCCAAATTTAAAAATACAATAAATATGTTCTTACATACATAATGTCACCAAAATACGGAAAAAGAAAAAAAAAATTGAATAGAGTTTTTGGGACTAATATTGTCAATTTGATAAAATATAAACTAATTTGACAAAAATAAATATCAAAAAATATTTTTGAATTTAAAAAAATTATTTCTACCCACCAAAGATAAAATTATGTAAAATTGATAAATTTTTTACTCATTTATTTATTTATTTCTTTTACCAAATTAATTTTTATTATAGGTTGGGATGATGATTATGGCCCTGTTTGGTAGAGCTTAAATTTAGCTTATTTCAGCTTTTAACTTAAATTAAGTATTTTTATGTGTTTGGTGTAGGATAAGTGATCAGCTTTTAGCTTAAATTAAGTAAAAAAAGTGATTATTCTTTGAGTGGGAGAGAAGGTGATTTTCTTAATCAACTTAAGCAGAAAGCTAGAATTGAGGGGCAAAATGACTTAAGTCCCCTCATCAATCTCATGTATTACCAAATGCTCACTATATAAACAACAATGAAAACACTGTTCACTCATCTCAAAGAGTGATAGGCAATTTCCGGCGCCTGGAGGTGATTTATGGGGTTGTGCTCTCTCTCTCTCTCTCTGTGGTCAACTTGCGATCTGAACCAGAGCTCTCTCTCTCTCTGGTGTGTGTGTTTGTTATCCAGAGCCATCGCGATTTGAATCAAAGTCGTCGTTGTCGCAATCTCAAGGCAAAACCGTATGCATCGCGATTTGAACCATAGTTGTCATCGTCGCGATCTATTGTTGTCGTCTCTCTCTCTCTCTCTTCATGTGTGTGTTTCTCACGAACTAATTCCCATCTCCAGTGTTATTTAGGCGGGTGAACGGTGACGATCGACGGTACTCCTTCTCTACCGTTCTAGATCACGGCAGTGGTTAGGATTGCAGACCACCGACGCCGTACGAATGAAAGATGAGAAAAGAGAAGAAAAAAGAAATATTAATTGGTCTATTTTGTAATGAATTAATAAATTTAAAAATAACAATTTTTATATTATTAATTGTAATGAAAAAAATTATTGATATAAATGAAACAAAATACATGAATATTAATTGATATAAATTTATTTCAATTAAATAACTATTCTTTGGTATTGTAATAAATAAATAAAGGAAAAATTAAACTAATAGCCTCTATAGTTTGGTGCTTGTGTCACTTTAGTCCCTGACTTTTCAATTGTGACATAAAATATAAGGACAATTAACATATCATTGCTTTATTTCAAGGATAAAATCATCAATTTGATAAAATATAAACTAATTTGACAAAAATAAATGTCAAAAAAATATTTTAAAATTTTTAAAAATTATTTCTACCCACCAAAAATAAAATTATGCAAAAGTGATAAAATTAATAAAAATTACATGATTAATTTTTAAAAATTAATTTTACATGATTATCATCCAAATACATAATAAAAATTAATTTGGTAAAATAAATAAATAAATGTCTAAAAGATTTATCAATTTTATATAATTTTATCTTTAGTAGGCAGAAATAATTTTTAAAAATTCAAAAATAATTTTGTAACATTTATTTTTGTCAAATTAATTTCTATTTTATCAAATTGACGATTTTGCTGTTGAAAAATTCAATAGTATCTTCAGTTGTCCTTATTTGAAACAAAATTCAAAATTCATGGTCAAATATGTCACAATTGAAAAGTCAGGAACTAAAATGACACAAGTTCCAAACTATAGGGACCGTTAGTGTAATTCACCCATAAATAAATTGTTCTAAAATTGATATTAATGAAAACAAGATGAAATAACTTCTATTAAATGAAATAAAAAAAATGAAATAACAATTCTTGTAATGAAATGTATCAATTTTTATATTGATTGATATTAAGGTCTTGTTTGGAACATGTTTTTTTAATAATTTTTTGATTTTTTTGCTAAAATATGATGTAAAAAAAATAACTTGTTTGGTTTGTTTTACAGAAAAATTTTTAGAAAAAATTTTTTACAAACAAATTTTCAAGAGTAATCAAACCAAACAAATTTTTTCAAAATTTTTTTTTGTTTGGTTACTTACTTTCCAAAATCACTCTTTCTCTCATACACATCAAATCAATCACTTTTTTTAAAACTCTCTCCCCAAAACAATTTTCTAAAACTATTTCTGAAAAAAGACAAACCAAACAAGTTTTCGTACTTTTTATCTCAAAAACTACTCTACAAACACAAACCAAGCAAGCCCATGTTTAGAATGAATTTTTGATTTTTTACGAAAAGATGTGCAAAAAATAGAGAGAAAAATGAAATATTTGACTTTTTAGTATGAGTTGTTGGATTTTTAATTTTTTTTAGTGACTTTTTGATATTTTGACTAAAAAAGTCATTTGCCAAACGATGTCTAATTATATTAACTTTTATTAAGAAAATGAAAAAATAACGATTTTTATATCTTATAACGGCAAAAAAGACATTACATAGCAAAAATTTATTTTACAGTTTATTCAATCAAACACTACTCTGCTTATTAAATCTATAATCTCACAGTTGCACCAAATAAGTTAACCGCTTATGTTTAAAGCTAAATTTATAATGTGTTAAGTTATAATTTATAATTATTTTCTCACTGCTCTATCAAACAGAACCTATGTAATGTGTAGTTGTTAAACTTTTAATGTGTAATCAATATATTAATATATGAAATATTTTTAATTTTTAATTTTTTGATTTAATGGATTGTTTTAATAATGATGTCAAATTATCGTCATATTTGAATTTTGAAAAAATAGAAACTAATGAAAATAAAAACAACCATCTATTACATAATCATCATCCAAACACATAATTAAAATTAATCTATTAAAAAATAAATAAATAACTATATAATTTTTTTTTCAAATTTACATAAATTTTATATTTAGTGAGTAAAAATGATTTTTAAAAATTCAAAAATATTTTTTTGATATTTACTTTTGTTAAATTAATTTATATTTTATCAAATTGATAATTTTATTCTTAAAATTAAATAATAATATTTATAACTATTCTTATTTAAAATAAGATTCAAAATTCACGAGGAAAGATATACAAACCCAAACTATAACTTACCTTTAGTGGGTGTTTGGAAAGTGAGTTTTTTTGTATTTTTTTTAGTTGTGAGATATTATCGGAGAAATTTTTTTTGTGTTTGGAAAGATAGTTAGATTTTTTTGTGGTTGGATGTAATGTTTGTCAGATAAAAAGTGAACTGATTATGGAGTTTGATGTGATATTTTATTTGAATTAAATTTTTTTTTTTAATTTTGTAACCAATTTATCTTTTAGTAGAAAAAAACCAAAAAATTTACTTCCCACACACCGCCTTAATAAAAAGAGGAAGAGTGGAAATAGCAAAATGTGCGTGTAAATTGCACGTCACTCTCTTTTTTTTCTCGCTCTCGCTCTCGCTCTCTCTCCCTCGAGTAGGAACAGGTAATTTAGGGATTGTTTGGGATAAACGAGTACTTTTTGATTTTTATGAAATATGAATTGGGTATAGATAGGAACAGGTAATTTAGGGATTGTTTGGGATAAACGAGTACTTTTTGATTTTTATGAAATATGAATTGGGTATAGATTGAGTTTGAAGTAATGTGGTAGAGAGGTGATGTGATTTAAATAAGATGATGTGATTTAAATAGGATAATAACTTTTTGACTTTTTGAAATTATGTCAAACCAAACCTTAGTAAATTTTTGACTATTTAGTTAAAATATGAACTAAAAAAAATTAATATGTTTGTAATAATTTTTTTAAATTTTTATAAAAAAAATATGTAAAAAATAATTTTTTTTTTGACTTTTTAATATAAATTATTAAGGCCAAGTTTAGCAACTCTTAAAAAATCAAAAAAGTCAAAAAGTCACTATCCTATTTAAATCACATCATCTTATTTAAGTTACATTACCTCTCTAACGCATCACTTCAAATCCCAATCCAAACCCAACCCATATTTCATAAAAAATAAAAAAATACACTTATTTAATCTTCCCAAACTTAACATAATTTTTTAATTTTTCAAATAACTTTTTAACATTTTAACTAAATCGGCTAGTCTCCAAACGAGCCCGGAGACGAAGAACTCTCGATCTTTTCTTCAGCTCTATCTCTCTCTCTCTCTGAAACATACGCAATCGCAAACCCTCTGTCTCCCTGTGGAATCGAAGATGGGGAGGAGTAGCTCAACGCGGGTGATCACTCTGTTCTTCATCGTCTTCTCTCTCTTAATCTCATCTGCCTACTCCTTCTATCTCCCCGGTGTCGCTCCTCGCGATTTTCAAAGGGTACTCTCTCTCTCGTTAAACTACTAATCGATCTCTGTTTTGTTCTTTCAATTTTGATCTATTAATCCAAAAATCACTGCTTTTTCACTCCCTCTCCATCATCTATTTTCAAGGATTTCGGTTTCGATCTAGTGTTTTGGGTCAACTCGTGCTTCGCTGGTCGAAAACCAGTTGATTTTTCTGCTACTATATTTAGGGTTTACATACATATATATATCTGTACTATTCCTCACTCTAATCATGTCTATTTTGAAGATATCTATTTTTCTATGTATGTGTTCTCCTCAGTGTTTTGATGATCATTGACGGTCTTCAACTAGTTCTCTACAATTATACGATATAATAGTGAAATGGTGCTGGAGAGGTGGCCATATAATAGTGTTGGGTGTGTTGTGTAATTCGAGAGGTGGCCGGGTCGGTAAATGTCGCCGGGAAGGCTTGGGATTTGATGCCTTTGTGTCTGATGTGGTTCATTTGGTTGGAGCGTAATTGGCGGATTTTCAAGGGGTTGAGTTATATTACATGCGTCTGTTTTGAAGCATTGGGTTTTGGCCATTTTGTATAGTTGAGTTTCTGGGAGGGTGTCCACAAATTTATTTCCGTTGGACTTTATGGATGATTTACATGTATAAGTTGTCGTAGTTTTGGTGTTTGATTGTATTTGTTTGCATATTTTTTATGCTTGTTTCTAATAAACTTATTTATTTATCCAAAAAAAAAAAAAAGTGGAATGGGTGCTGGGATGACTTGGGAGCTTTTATTATATCACACAATTTTTTCTCTGTTTACACACTTTGTTTTTCATTCAATTTGAAAAACAATGGTAGGGAAATCAACTTCGAAATCCAAGATAGTGCCGAACCACAAGGGTTTGTTCGGAAGTTGATTTTTTAATAATATGGTTTTGTTTAAAAGTTGATATGAATGAAAAAAAAGTGTTTGAACTGAGATATAATGTGATGTCAGGAAATAGAAGCTCCCTCTGTATCATTGTTAATATTGGTGAGGGATTTTGTTTTGTTCTGTTTGGTTCAGGGAGTGTGTATACACATTTGCATGTGTTTTAACATTACATTTATGAGAGAGAGAATGCATGATGAGTGAATGGAATCATCCTCTTGACAAACATCGAACAATAACAAATCAAAGAGCCTAGACATTGAGGTGGCATGAAGTTGCCAAAAGATGACTCCAGTTTGTGAGGTTATCTGCCTTCAAACTTGTAGAAAGCAGAGTCCTTCGAAGTAAGAGCACCTCTTGTTCCAAGGACATGTACATCATGACTGGAAGAACCCAAAACTCTTCTTGTGCCTGTGTGTTATTTGCTGGTCCATGCCTAATGATATTTTGGTAGTTTTTTATTTTGGAAATACCTGAGTTTTTCGATAACTTGTAATTTGAAATTAATATTAAATGCTTTCTTTACATGGAAGTTGGTGTGGAATCGGGCAAAAAAATCAGTTGGCAAGATGTGACTTTGCCTTGTAGGCGTACTGTTAACCAAGTTTTGCATTAACCTTTTAGTTTGTTTCTTTTTCCTTTTTTCCTTGAAGGAATGCTGTTAGTAAATGTATTATGAAATTATTTATTTTGGTTTTTATTACTTATCTTTCTTAATCTATTGAATTTTCTGTTTGTTTCATTTTTGTCCTTCCTTATGACAGGGTGATGCCCTTCAAGTTAAAGTGAACAAGCTGTCATCTACAAAGACACAACTTCCATATGACTACTATTACTTGAACTACTGTAAACCTTCCAAAATTATGAACAATGCTGAAAATTTGGGGGAGGTTCTTCGAGGAGACCGCATAGAGAATTCCGTTTATACTGTGAGCATCTACTACAATTCCCTTTTCTATTAAGTGGTAGTTGGTATAAAAAAGAAAAAAAGCTATAGATGTTACTCTTCCTCTCCTTGTTCTCCATGTGTCACCTTGATTTTGGTGATCTAAGTTTTCAAAGGCTATTGCAGTTCAATATGAGGGAGGAGCAGCCATGCAAAGTAGCTTGTCGAGTTACACTTGATGCTGAATCGGCAAAGAATTTCAAGGAAAAAATTGATGACGAATATAGAGTGAACATGTATGCTTAATTGAGTGCCCCCTCATTATGTTTTAATTATGAATCTTGCTTATGTTCATTTATTTATTTACTTTTTTAGAGTATGGGACTCCCAGGTAATGATGTCTGCAAATTTTGTATCTTGTTATTTATTCCCCTTGGCATCTGTATAAACTGAAATTTCTGAGATGGGTTTACAGGATTCTAGATAACCTTCCAGTTGCTGTTCTAAGACAAAGGAGGGATGGCAGTCCGTCAACCACTTATGAACATGGTTTCCGTGTGGGGTTCAAAGGAAATTATGCAGGGGTGAGTTGCAATAGACAATCACTGTTGTAGTGTGCTTGTGTTTTTATGTAATTTTTTTTTGGGGCTTCTACAGAGCAAAGAGGAGAAGTATTTTATAAATAATCACTTGAGCTTTAAAGTCAAGTATCACAAGGATCCTGAGACTGATTCTGCCAGAATTGTTGGCTTCGAGGTTACCCCAAACAGGTTCTTGCTTTCTACTTGCACCTTTTTTTTTTTTTAAAATTTTTTAAATACAGTCTGTAATAGGGGAATAGAGATAGGATTAGGGTTGGGGGAAGCTACCTTGCACATTGGCGAGACTGGAATCCGGGCATCATACCCGGCAAGGGAGCACGTCATTCACCAGGCCAACACCTTGGTGAGAATGAGGTGTTGGCAAATGCCTTTTTAAGTTTTGAAAATATAAATTTTGTTATACTACTACTGAATAAGGTACAAAATGAACCTTTCCAATCTCAAAAGAATGAGAATTTCCCTTCGTTTCTATGAATTGTTCATGCTTTAGCATCCTACTTGGTGATGGTTCTGTCTTGACTAATATCTCGTATCTGAATTTTCAAGTGAATAAATGAAGATACTCATATGTAAACAAACAAATATTTCAGTGGAAATCTCTTCCTCAATTTTTTTTTCCCCAGAGAAGAGAAAGAAACCTAATGGCTTCAGAGGCTTCCACTTAAGGATAGATGATTGAATTGCCCACATCAAATATATCCTTAATGTAGAAGTCCTTTCTTGTTATATGAGCCGAGGTAATCTGTCCTTGTCATCAGCTCAATTATTTTTTTTTATGATTTAAGTATCTGAACTTTATTTTCAGCTGGCGGAATAATGTTGTGTGTTTGTGTTTATGTTTTGTTTTTGTCCTCTTTTATAGATGAATATTTTCCCTTTAGTCATGATAATTTGCATTGGACAGAAGGTAATGCCACTTTATTGGCACCTATATGTTGTATTGGTTCCCATGAATGTAAAAAGCAAGGTTTTCTTTCAAACTGGCATTCTTTCTGTGGTTTTTAAGAAATTATTTTGTTCTTATCTTCATATTTGTTCGGGCAGTCTTAATCATGAGTACAAGGAGTGGGATGACAAGAATCCTCAGTTGACAACATGCAACCAGAACACCAAAAATATAATTCAAGGTAGCACTGTTCCACAGGAAGTTGATACAAATAAGGAGGTTGTTTTTACATACGATGTTTCTTTCAAGGTACTCTCTAATTGAGCCCTCTAACTTGTCCACACTTAGTTTTCCAATGGAAAACCCTCTAATGGCTTTTCCTTTAATTTAATATTACATTTTTGCCCCTCCAGGAAAGTGACCTGAAATGGGCATCACGTTGGGACACTTACCTTCTCATGAATGATGACCAAATACATTGGTTCTCCATCATAAACTCTCTTATGATTGTCCTGTTCCTTTCGGGTATGGTTGCCATGATTATGATGAGAACTCTGTACAGAGATATTGCAAACTATAATCAATTGGAAACACAGGACGAAGCTCAGGAAGAAACAGGATGGAAACTTCTCCACGGAGATGTTTTTAGGGCACCAATTAATTCTGGTTTACTCTGCGTTTATGTTGGGACTGGTGTGCAGATCTTTGGGATGACACTTGTAACCATGATTTTCGCAGTTCTTGGTTTCCTATCACCTTCCAACCGAGGTGCGCTTACGACTGCGATGGTTCTCTTATGGGTCTTCATGGGCTTATTTGCTGGCTACACCTCGGCACGTCTGTACAAAATGTTCAAGGGCACTGAATGGAAGAGGGATACTTTAAAAACTGCTGTTATGTTTCCGGGTATTTTGTTTGGCTTCTTCTTTGTGCTGAATGCCCTAATCTGGGGGGAGAAATCTTCTGGAGCTGTTCCATTTGGGACTATGTTTGCTCTTGTGTGCTTGTGGTTTGGCATATCCGTACCCTTGGTGTTTGTGGGCAGTTACTGGGGTTTTAAAAAACCAGTCATTGAAGACCCAGTAAAGACTAACAAAATCCCAAGGCAGATACCGGAGCAAACCTGGTACATGAAACCTGTCTTCTCTATACTGATTGGAGGCATTCTTCCATTTGGGGCTGTTTTCATCGAGCTATTCTTCATCCTCACATCCATATGGCTGAACCAGTTCTATTACATCTTTGGCTTCCTTTTCATAGTTTTCGTTATCCTTTTAATCACTTGCGCTGAGATATCGATCGTGCTCTGCTATTTCCAACTCTGCAGCGAAGACTACCATTGGTGGTGGAGGGCTTACCTGACAGCTGGTTCCTCCGCTTTGTACCTTTTCCTTTACTCAATCTTCTACTTCTTCACTAAGTTGGAGATCACAAAGCTGGTTTCGGGTATCCTCTACTTCGGCTATATGTTAATTATCGCATATTCCTTCTTTGTCTTGACGGGTACAATTGGCTTCTACGCTTGCTTTGTGTTTGTGCGGAAGATCTACTCCTCTGTGAAGATTGACTGAAAGGGCTCATGTAAGGGTATCAATGACATAATGTGTTGCAAGAAGCTTTGTATCTAGATGTAGTTCACCTGAAAGGAAAGCAGTAAGAAGTATATCTCCACTGTTCTCGGATAAGGGCTATTATGGCCAGGACAGTTTTCCCACCCTCACCAAAACCTTTTTTTGTTTTAATTTTGCTGATGGTAGGTGTAGGACTCGGCTTGTATGTTATTATTGCCTTTTATATTTTGTTTACATCAGTATTAATTGTTATGATTTGTAATTTTAGCATTATCTTGCTAGAAGGCTTTTTTTTAACAGAAGTTTCACATCATCTCTGAATTTGCTTATTGCTTGTTGAAACTTATGAGGTCTATATTAGTAGGTCACCTACCTCTAATAAATCCACCTAATATTTAGAAATTCTCTCTTTCAAGAAGTTGCTAGATTACCTGCCCCTTGTTGACTTATTTGAGAGGCAGGGTGGCAAAAGCAAAAGGGTTATTTGGAAGAGGGTCTAACATATTGTGTTTTGGTGTGTTTGGATTGGGTGGAGAAAATGTGAAGAGAACATAATATTCTGAGAGATTTTTTGGGTCTTCTAAGATTTCTTTTGATCTGGTCTGATCTTGTATTTCTAGTTGTGATTTAACTAGGGTTGATAAACAAGTTGAACAACTATTTAAGTTTGGTTTGAAAATTTTAATAAATTTTAAATTTAGGCCAAGTTTGGGGACTTCAAAAAAAGTCAAAAAGTCAAAAAGTTACTCAAAAAGTTAGAAAGTTAACACTATTCATCAAAAGTCAATAATTACGGCTGTACAATTTCCAATTCAAAATTTTCACAACTCCCAATTAAAATTTTTTCCTACAAATCAATTTTTACAATTTTTTATTACACATTTTTTAATAAAAAGTCAAAAAGTTAACTAAAACATCCATATTTTCAACCTCAATTTTTTAGTCCAAAAAGACAAAAAGTGCATTTTTTTAATCTTCCCAAACTTGGCCTTAGTTTGAGTTCGTTTATTAAAATTTTGAGTTGATCTCAAATGAGATTTTGTCAACTTAAATTCAAGTAGTAGTTTGGTATATATTTATTTTTGTCATAAAAAGAAGGGTGGTTAGATTGTTGATTTTATTATAGTCTTTGCTTTATAAATGTCATTTATACTGTGTTTGATTGGGGGATATGAGAAGGGATTTAGAACGGGAAATGAAAAAAGTAAGTGAAATGTGAATAAAATATATTTATATTTTATTCAAGTTTACATATTTTTTTTCTCTCTCTTTCTAAATTTCGTTTCAAATCTCTCAATTAAGCACAACATTATTGCCTGGTGTGTGCTTAGTGTGGACGCAAGCATTGCACTTTCTCTTTCTTAATGAATCATTGATCAATGAAAATAAAAACCCAACACATCTTTAAACCAAAGAATGAAGGGGATCTGGGTATAATAAAATGGGAAGTCATTTATGGGCTTTGAATCTAAAATATGACATATTACAGTGTCAAGTATGTCAAGTCATTTATGGGTATGTATGGGTGTAGTAGTAAACCTATGTTGGATAGAGAGATTAAATTGTGAATAGGAGATAAAAAATTATGTCTAATATTATTAACAAAAACACGCGAAGGGGGCAGGGGCAGTCAGCGAAACCACTGCGGTTGCACACCACCAACCTTGTGGGCAAATGATACCCAATATTACTCTCCATCCCAATATTACTTATATACCAAGATATTTTAATCTTTTTTATTAAATCATTAATGAACCTAACAGTACATTTCAATTTACAAATCACAAGGGAGTCGTATAATTATTTTCAAATGTTAAAGGAGGTAAATCACACATAACTCAAACCGTAGGATAAAGTAAAATTTGCCCCATTTAGTACGATAGAAAGCACAAATTAATAGAAAAACATTCTCTATAATCAACAAAAAACGCAAGTTTAATTAGACATATTTTCCAAACTAGTCTTCAACTCTACCAACCCACCCCCACTACCACCACCAACACATTACAACCACCATTATGCCACCCCCACCTCATCCATCATCACTATAACAATCACCGGCACATTTCTGAGAAAAAAATAAATTTTTCACCAAAACAAATGGAACATAAATATCAATAAAAACCAAGACACAGTTTTGACTCAGTCAAATTACTTATACTTTTTATTTCTTAGGTGTCAAATTACACTAAGGTCTTCACTTCATTTGCTTCTGGAGCTTATTGCAGCCTCTGCTGATAAAACTAGATGTAAATGGGAAAAAAGTAACAAGTTGTTAGGAAGGCCAAAATATAACAAAACATTGTATCCAAATTCAAGTTACACCACATGCGGAAATGTATTAGTTTCCGCTGGGAAAACCTAAAAAACGAAAACAAAAAGTTGTGTGCCACATTTCCGTTCAAAAAGCAACCCACAGAAGCACAAGCAGCCATAAAAAATTCCTGCAACGGTGCATGATTCGGGGCATTGGATGAAAGTTTGTCATTAGTGAAAACCCACGAGTAAGGTTAGCAAGACAGACCGTCATCAACCTGTGCACGACCTAGGTTTCCCGTTTTTCTGCCTGCAAATGGGATAGATAGTTATTGACACACAACACCAAAGAGAACTCTATGAATATGAAATTCAATTAGGAAGAAACCAACCAGAATGAATCCTTCTTTTCTTGTGCTAATAGTTCTTCAAATGAAATATCAGTAAACTCAGCATCTGTGCTTTCTGTCATTTCATGGGATTTGGCTTTCATTTCCATGCATGCACCAATTTCAAGCATCTTCAAAATAAGAGAGAGAGAGAGGAATAGAGTTCATACATAATTAAGCTGAAAATAAAAGACTCGTTCAGTTTAATTTGAATAATGCATATGCTCTCGTCACTAGTAGTGACAAGGAGGATGATCACAAAAGTTGTGTCATAATCTGTTTTTTCTAACTAAATCAATCTATACTAATAATTTTTTTAACTTCATGCTTCTCTAGAATCGGGCCACTATGCAATTTTGTATTCAACGATTTTTGGTGATGGGGTTTTGATGAAGGATACACGTCTAGGGCTGGGGGCGAAGATTAGTGGGTATTTTATTTAAAAATCTCTCAGAGGTTCACTTGTTATTTAGTTGGCAAGTCTCTTTGTATAAAACATTGAAGTGAGAAACAAATAAGACATTATATTTTAATTTTCTTGAGCTCCACTTGTGTTCAGCTCGCTACGTAAACAAGTCAAGCACGAACACATTCTAAAACAAAGTTTCAACAACCTACTACTCAGGGCTTGATAAGCTTATATACACCATAAAAAACCAAACTACTCGAGCACAACTCATGTTTGACTTGTTTACAGCCCTACGCTCAATGTCATACTAGTCAAATCAATATTAAGCCTCTTATCTACCATTTTTGCATTCCCTGCTAGACAGCATCTAATGAAATGTTTTGAATTGGGTTTGTTAAGTATTACCTTCTTATACGCTGGTGAGAGCTTAAGCTGTTGCTGGAGCCAGTTATATACAAATGCATCCTCTTCTAATCTCTTTTGTTCTAATTCTAGCTTGTATATCTGCAGAAAGCAAAGAATTAATTTACATTTGGATATCAGAAAGAAAGAGAAACCTACTAGTATCAATGACCCAAAATTCTTGAAACTAGTATAGCACCAACCTGTTGACGGAAGCGGTCAAACGAAGACCTGTCTGCCTTGAATAATAGAGCCTTTGTTATTGTGAACTTTCGCTGGATAACATCAGACCTGTTGGGGAGGAAATTTTTACGTGAAGTTGAGGAAGATGATCAAACCTAGATAACTCAAAAATTAGAAATTACTGTCATGAGGGTTGGGAGATCGATGACAACAAAATCAGAATTTTGAAAGTGTCTCCATGAAAAAATAAAATAAAGTGATCTCAAACAGTTGAATTGCAAACATAAATAATTTTTTTAAAAAAAAGTGATCCACAATTTGATGTGTAAAATTGGAAAATCTCATGAGCATTTTAAAAAGCCTTAAAAGAAACCCTTTAACAGAATTGAGATGCTCACGCAAAGAAGACAGCAATATCAACCATTTAGAAAAGAAAGTGTATGACATACTTGTGCTGTAGTTCATTTTTTGCTTCAATCAAGCAATTAACAAATTGTCCGACCTGCATTATGCAAAGCATGAAAAAAATTATATAATTGTAATTTATAATTATTACTTTCATATAATATTCTATAGTTATCATTCTATTATCCATTTCCAGAAGACAGATTTATAAATTCAAAATCAAGTGAGCACATTTTGATATCCATAGCCAGAAATCAGTTTATGGAAAATTTCAACATAATTCTTTCTATTTTTCAACTGCAAGTACATTAATGAGGAAAGATGGACATCTAAAAGCAATTTCAACTGCAATTATATTAACCTATTGTTCTGCCAAGTGTAAAAAACTAATGTTCAAGCTATTAATGCCCATTACAGACAATTGTTCATATGAAGTTTTTCTTTTTTTCACCCATCTGACCAGTCAAGAAAATTTTGAAGATAGTTTAGCACACATGACTGGAGTTTGATTCATGTAAATCACAATTGGGGGTGTGGGGGAGGGGGGAGAACCATTTAGTGGTCTCAATTTTCCAAACCCAAATCCAACAGAAGTAAGGATCACCCACAATATGGATTTGTGATCAAACAGCTAATTTTAGTGTAAATTTATTAGAAACTGTGTTTCAGTCTCAGATGCAACGATTACATACCAGAAACTAGTGGAATTAAGCTCAAGTTTAAAAGTCCACCTCAGGAAGATGGGCACTTTCTAAAAGAGTAAGCCGCACACAGTGGCTCTATAAGGTGGTTAGGAAAAAAAAAAAAACACAACTTCTAATACCGTAGTAAGGTGGGCGAGGTTGGATTTTATAGGTCATTAAGAAAAGATGGAAAATGTTTTGGAAAGGTAAAAGTAGAGAGTCAAATTCCCCGCAGACTAGGTGGCTAGATTCCCATTAATTATATTAACCTATTGTTCTGCCAAGTGTAAAAAACTAATGTTCAAGCTATTAATGCCCATTACAGACAATTGTTCATATGAAGTTTTTCTTTTTTTCACCCATCTGACCAGTCAAGAAAATTTTGAAGATAGTTTAGCACACATGACTGGAGTTTGATTCATGTAAATCACAATTGGGGGTGTGGGGGAGGGGGGAGAACCATTTAGTGGTCTCAATTTTCCAAACCCAAATCCAACAGATGTAAGGATCACCCACAATACAGATTTGTGATCAAACAGCTAATTTTAGTGTAAATTTATTAGAAACTGAGTTTCAGTCTCAGATGCAACGATTACATACCAGAAACTAGTGGAATTAAGCTCAAGTTTAAACGTCCACCTCAGGAAGATGGACACTTTCTAAAAGAGTAAGCCGCACACAGTGGCTCTATAAGGTGGTTAGGAAAAAAAAAAACACAACTTCTAATACGATAGTAAGGTGGGTGAGGTTGGATTTTATAGGTCATTAAGAAAAGATGGAAAATGTTTTGGAAGGGTAAAAGTAGAGAGTCAAATTCCCCGCAGACTAGGTGGCTAGATTTCCATTCCATTTCATATTGAAGGAGCACTTGAATAATAAAAACTAGACCTAATATGGCCACTAAATGCTGGATCAAGGTTAGCCAGGCTGCTTCTTTACATCTGATGGATCCCAATCCAAATCCAATTTCAAACATGTAGCTGTGCCCACAGCAAAGTTCTATGTAAACACACACAATAAACAGTACACAAAACCATTTTTATTGAGAAATCTATGGCCCACTAATTTCAGCATTCAAAAAGTCAGTCAGGCCAAGAAACGATTTCTACTCAACTTTACATGTGTTTACTTTTTGAGAACCTTTTTTGTTCATTTTAGAACTTCCATACAACAATGAAGTTATAACAAACATACAATAAATAAAAATCATCCAAGCTGATTGACCATAAGATTGCCGATTTTAATGATTTTCCAAACAGTTCTATTGAAGTTATTACTTCATTAGACAATATCCACATGGAAGACTGGCAACCAATGGTTACATCCAAAATGTTCAGATTATGAACACAAGATGGTTCGATTTGAGTATCAAGGCCACCTTCCTATTGTTTCTTTGACAAAATACACATACATACACTATTTTATTGATTTATTTTTATTTTTGAGCTTAGTAAAGCTTTATTTGAAAATGCTCCAAAGGGTGCAACATAAGAAGAAACAGGGCCGGCCCAACAGCCTAGGCCACATAGGTGGCTGCCTTAGGCCCCATAATTTTTTTGTATGTCTGCAGACTTCTATAGTTAATTCTCTCTCTATCTCTCCAATTTTTGTTTTCGACTCCCTAGTTTTGGGGCTGTATGTTTTGTCAATTGGCAGCTCCTTGTTATGTTTTATTATACTATCTATTTGTTTGTGGAGCCCGACTTTTTGACTTTGGCAAGCAGAGCCTCTTAGGGTTAGTACCTTAGGATTGACAATTCCATGATTTGTATGTTGTTTTGTTTTTAGGGGGCAAAACAAGATACAACCTCAAGATTTGGAGACCTTCACCAAAGAATTCAAGCTTCAAGCCTTACCAAGCAGAGACAAGGAGGATCTGGACATCAGGAGGTTTCAAGCAACCAAGGTAGGTTGTCATAGATAGATTTCGGATAGGTCTTAAGGAAGGCAAGTTCAAGCCTCGGATAGTTGCATAGTATGGCTTAAAAGTATTTGGTGAAATTAAGCTGAATTGTTGGATTTTTTTGAAGAATTTGTGCACAAATTGAGCTATTATTTGCTAAAATTGAGTTGAAATTCAGCTGTTAGTAAGTTGACTATGTATGAAATTCAGTTGAAATTGTTGATTGTGGTTAGTGAGTGCTTATTACTTGAATGCATTTCAATTAGATTGAATTAAGATATAGCATAATTCAATCCATCTTCTAAACTATCGATAGACCTAACTTAGAGTTGTTACCTTAGGTCTCATGTTGCCTAGGACCGGCCCTTCAAGAAACATATATGTGTGTATATATATATATATGGAGAGGAAAAAAGGCGGTGGGTTGGTGACACAGATGCTTATCAAATCAACGAACAATACTAAAGTGTGTAAGCCCATTTACAAAATCATGCTACGGGACCATATCTACATTTTCAGAAATACTAATGCCCAAGACACCAAGTGCCTGCCTCATTTCATGACAGCGTACTAACCAGATTATATGATTATGAAACAGATGAAAATCAATGCCGATTGAAGAGAAGTTTGATATAAAGCATATATGCTTGCTGATAAGTCATAATCAGATACCACTGGGCCAAATCTAACCCAAGCTACCTTAATCATACTATAATTGAAAGAATTTGAGTAAAAATGCAGACTATTATTGAGGATTTTGTGTTGCTATCTTTTGAATAAAAAAGTTGATGTCCGTGCAAGACATGGAGGGTGTGCTTTGTGAGCATATACAAGAATCAACATATCATGCATCTACATGAAATTAACTACAAATTATGTCCATGCACAGAGGGTGCAATTACAGGTTCAACCACTTGAACATGGACCACAACATAAGTCCCATAGCTAAATTGCACAATGATGAAAAATATGTGGCTGTTGACAATAGTAGAAGCTGGAAAAGGATTCATTGGCATATAGCATTGCACAACAATATGGGTACTTCCAAATTAGTTCCATGTTCAAAATATATATATATCAACAAAATAATAGCAGATGGAGGATCATGTCTTAGATACAATATTAGTACTAAAAGTAGAATACTTATCCCACCTTGTTGGGGTTTAAAAAAAAAAAAAAAAAAAAACCTCACAAAGGGTATAAATGCGTTGCACGAATGAATCCACATAGGGCAATTACCTTCTTACTTTCAGCGCGGTCTGATTTAATAACCATTATGTGTGTGTGCATGTGTATGTGTGTGTGTGTGTGAGAGAGAGAGAGAGAGAGAGAGAGAGTCTTAAGCCCAAGTCTATGGTGTAATGCTAAAGTCGTTTATCCTGTTCCATGAAAGCCTTATTTTGCACCTTGTAAAACTCTGTCAGCAAGCATTAGCTGCTAGATTAGAGTCAATACATGAGTTGGCATGAGACTCAGCCTAAAACAAACTAACTTGACTTCTTCTTTTTTTGAGAGGTAAAGGCAATGATGAAACTGACAAGAATGAATGCCAATTGACAAAGGGGAGTTTGGTGCAATAATGGTGGTCCAACCTAAAACTCAACCATATAATGGCTTCAGTTGGGTATTACTAATATTGGTTCTAGACTTCTACGTTTGGCTTCAACTGAATCAGAGTGGGGTTGATTCAGCTATAGCTTTTTTGACTTTTAAGTAGATTGACTGATCCAATCCCAAGAACCAAAAAGCATATACATTCTCCAGAAAAATTATAAAATCTATACATTTTGCATAACGTCTGAACTGACAACGTTGGAGTCTATTTAGCTCTCCGGTTAAGAAGCTTAGTCTTTAGACTCAATCTCAAATCAAGTCGAGACTTAATTAAATAGGTGAGAAGATTGTTTAGGTTCGATAGCCATAACAAACAACCAAAGTTTAATTAAATAGGTGAGAAGATTGTTTTCATTTACACTGGAGATTTAAGAATAGGTGGCCTTTCTGTGGAACAAATTCTACTAATGATGGGATTCATCACTAGTGGAGGATTTTATAAAAGTACACATATTTTCTCGATTTTCCATTTACACTGGAGAGTTAAGAACAAGTGGACATTCTATAGAACACATTTTATTGATAGGATTCATCACTACTTCAGTAGCTTTGCCAGTATTCATCACTATTCCATATTCTAACATTAGCATCAGTAATGTACATCAGTCAATAGGAGTATTTTCCCCTGGAAGTTAGCATATGAATCTTGACCATTCATTTACATACATATATATATATATAATATGTAAGCTTCATTATCCATCTATGAAGACTGATAAAAAAGCATAAACCTTGACATCTTGAAAACAAGTTATTGTTGAAGGAGCTTAAATCAAAATCCTTAATAGTAGCATCCACTAAATTTACACGCATTCTACTTTATTCTAATCATTTAAATGCAAAAGAATGTCCATATGCAACACACATGAATGGTTTAACCACAGAGCTTTTAAATTCTTCCTATTGTAGTTAATTATCATACTTATTGGATATCTATAATGGTTTTCTACATGGACATGCTACTACAGTTTGATGACATTACTTGATTCAAATGGTTCTCATGACAATTGAAAGGGCGTTTCCTTGTTCTGGGTATAGCACACCCAAATACTCATACCATCAGATGAACACTTCCAAGCAGACTCCCCAAATTTCTTAGAAAGAAGGTTGGATGAAAGCCAACACTAGACACGGAACTGACTCTAATAGTAGCATCTAGACCTCCCCAATAGCAGCATCATCTAGACCTCCATTGCTTACTATAATGCAATTAAATTTTGTCTCCAAAAAATCCCGGAAGAATATTCGGCCCATAATCCTCATGACTAAATGTCTCACCCAATATATATATATATATATTTTGTGTGTGTGTGTGAAAAATGGATGTGCAGATGCCTCACCCAATATTCAATGAGTGCATAAAGCATAAACCAGATGAAAAACTAATTTAAGTTGGGAAAACCACTTGGGCTTTATAGAAAGCTGATTAAGGCTCAACATTATTAGACCCTTGACCTTACTGGCAAAAACTAGGAAACCTTTAATCCTCACATCTCCTCCTGGAGAATGAATTGTGTCAAATTCATGGGTCATACACAACAACAATCACTCATCCTTGAAACATATATATATATATATATATATTTAAATTATAAATATCCTCAAAAGTCGAAACACAAATAATGTAAATGTGAAGAGCTTTGGTTTTGAGGAATACTACAAAACTTGGTGGATGGGGAAGCATCTAGACTTTGGAGGGCAAGGCAAAGAACAAATTCTACAGTTTTTAAGTCCAGTAATTAATAATTGTAGAAAATAACATGATGATACAACAACAAATTTAAAATTAAAATATATATATATATATATATTGAATAATACTATATCCTGATGAAGGCAAGTCATTACAAAAACCAGCACATCCTATACCAATTATATACATATATAGTTACATACACAAACTAACTACACAATCATTAATCAACATGAAACTAGAACAAAAAAGGTAAATTTTTTCCTTTTTTAGTTTCTTTAGCAAATAGTAAATACCTTGACTAACCATCAAGAATCACCAGAAACAGCAAAAAAACCAAAAACATGAGATTGAGTTTATGAAATTAAAAATTTTAAAAAGTAAAAACCTGATCTAGAGTCAAGCCATTGGATTCATTGGACCTAACAAGCTGATCATACTGTTGCTTGATCTTCCTCTGCGTCGCACTCGACGACGACGTAAATGGATACAAACACACCAATTCTTGCTTCTCTTTAACCCCCAAACCCCCACTCCTCTCTCCTCCACCCTGACCAGTTCTGCTGTAAGTGCTTCACCCATTGGATCTCTTCTTCTTCCCTCTCTTCTTCTTCTTCTTCTTCTTCACACAATCCTCCCCACCCGAATCGACCCTTTCCCCATCCAAACCCGACCCATCTCGAACCGGGTCGCCACTATCCCATTTCGGGGGTAAGATCTCGAGAAGAAGCGAATGGGTGAGATGGGTTAGGTTCGATTCATTGGGTTGTGAGGTTTTATTTACAAAATTTGAAAGAGGACATTGGGGGATTGAGTTGGAGCTTGGTGGTTGCTCTGTTTTCTTGAGCTTTTTGTGGAGAGAGAAGATGAGAATCAAGAGAGATAGAGTGAGGAAGAGGAAGAGAGACAACATGGGTTGGTCTAGTAGGTTCGAGTGAGAGTGTAACGGAGATGGTGGGTTAAGAAAGATGAGAGAAAGAAAGGGCTGAGTAGCAGTAGTAGTCGCCGCCATGGATACGCGTCATTTGCAGAGCATTGACACTTGTGGAGAGAGAGAGAGAGAGAGAGAGAGAGAGAGAGGAAAAGAGGATAGAGAAAAGTGAGATGGGAATGGGCTTGTGCTTGTTCTGTTGTAATCTTGTTTGCTGCTTTGAAGGTTCCAAATCTGATCTTTTTTTTCTCTCTCTAACTTTCTCTCTCTCTCTCTCTCTTTCTCTCTCTCTGCAAAGGAATTTTGAATGAGAAGATTTCAGAACCATGTAAAATGTGAAAAATAGTGTGGGTTTGTATTTCAGATATTATTTTAAAAATAATTTTTTAGAATGATTTTAAACAATTTATTTAATTATATATTTTGAAAATAATTTTAAAATTTTAAAGTTTGAGATAAGTTGATATTTTTTGTAATTGAATAGATAGGTATGTGAGAAAATTTAAACTAACCCTATACTAGTATACTGATATTTTTTGACAAAAGGAATTAAATTCTTAGCATGTAGCAATTTAAAAATCAAAAATATTTGAGGGCTCGAAATCCTGTTGGCTCGAATTGGCTAGAAATCCAAAACGACGTCGTTTTGGGTTTTATTTTTTATTTTTTTTCTCCTCTTATTTTCGTTCCCTTTCCTTTTTGAAACAAGGAAGAAAGAGAGCAAGCAAGAAAGAGAGATGAAGAGAAAAGATGAGAGAAGGGGGAGGAATAGAAGAAGGAGACGGTGATGGCGGCGCCGGTTGCCGGTGGGTGGCCCTCTCTCTCTATGTCGTGGGTAGCCCTCTTTCTCTCTCTCTGTCTCATATGTATAGATGAAGAAAATGAAGAAACTCTCTCTCTCTCTCTCTCTCTCTCTCATATATATATATATATATAGATGTGTGTGCATAGATGAAGAAGATCTGGTGTTTTTTTTTTTTTGGATGATCTATGTATAGAATTTTTTTTTTTTTTGTTTTTGTAATTGTTGGATCTGTCTATGTAGTGTGAAGATCTAGTGTTTTTTTTTTTTTTGTTTTTTTGATGATTTGTGTATAGAATTTTTATTTATTTATTTATTTATTTTTGTGATTGTTGGATCTGTATTAATGGAATGAGAGGATCTGTATTAATGTGTTGATGATGCTGTATTAATGGGATGAGAGTGAAGAAGATAAAGAGAAGATCTGGTGGTGTTTTTTTTTTTTTTTTATTTTTTTTTTTTTTTTTATTTATCTGTGTATAGAATATTTTCCAGCTCTCTCCCCTCCTGTTCCTCTTCTTCTTCTTCATTTTCATCCTCTCAGAACAGAGAAAGAAAAAAGAAAAAAAAATCCAAAACGACGTCGTTTTGGATTCGGGACAAATTCGAGCTTGACAATTTCGGGCCCTGTAACAGCTTTGTTTAAAAATTGCATAGAGATAAAAGTGATTTTGAAATTTTTTTTAAAAAAACAATTTAACCAATCATATTTTTGAATTTTTTTAAAAAAAGAAATATGTTCTAAGAGACAAACCAAACATGTTCAGTAAATTTGACTGATCAAAGTATATTTGTGTATGATTTAACAATAATTATCTGTTTGTTTACGTGAAAAATATTTTTTTATATTTGGTAGTGTTGCTGAAGGGATAAAGGTAGAGGTGGCGTAGTAGTGACTTGGTAATAATGGTAATGGCAGCGGTAATGGTGGTGTGGTAGTAGAAGTGAGAATAGTGGTGATAATACAGTGATACTAGTAAGAATTTAGTCTACAAAATAATTTTCGTCTTTTAAAAATAAAAAACATTTTTTTACTTATGTAAGCTTGTTTTTTGTTAATTTTCATTTTCTATTATACTTAATATCAAAAAAATATAAAAATATTTTTTAGAAAATATTTTCTACTCATTTGTATTATTATTATTATTATTTAAAGGAAAATCCTCACATATTTTCGTAGATTCAAGGTAGCGCCCGTGATGAGATCACCAATGTATCTCATTATTTGTTAAAGATAAGAGATTATAACCTAAGAGTTTGCACTAACCCTTCAACACAATCCCTATTTAAGTTAAGATTCACGCAACAAAAAAAAATTCAAACCTGTGTCAATTTACTGCAAAGCAACACTTGAGGCTCTGCCTCCAAGCCAACTGTGCTACTACCCAAGTTGTCATTTGTAGTCTTATTATAAGAGACGAATAAAGATTGAGAGCTTTAATTTTGGAGCTCTAAAAAGAGTTCTAGTGATGTGGTAAGGAGTGAGGCCCATATGTGATGTGATGTATGTGCCTATGTTTTTTTTTCCCCTCTTATCACATCATTAAAACTCTCTTTAGAGGTCTAAAATTAGACTTCTCTATCATTGTTGATAAGAGAACATAGTTATTCTTTGGATGGAAAAAGGTTAAGACCCCTTTTTTAGGGAACTCCTACCACCCTTAATGCATTGTGATTGGCCAACTTTTTATTTTTATTTTTTGTTTTTTGTTTTCTCTCTCCTATCTCTGGCTAACATGTATTTATAAAGGATTGTGAGGGTCAAAAAAAAAAAGGGGAGGTTTGTATCATCTCTCTTCTTTGGATCATTGAAAAACCTAAGCCAAAGCTTAAACATGTACTTGTGTTGCCTATGCTTTAATCTTAATAAAAACATGGTTCTACTCCAAAAAAAAAAAAAAGTTAATTACATTAAAAAAAAATTAAAAATTGTTTTGTTAGTGTTGAAATATGTAAAAATATGTAAAAGATATATAAAAATATGTAAAAGTATCTTGAGACAAGTGAAGAACACATTAAGATTAGAAACAATTTGACATTTTATATTTGTTATTGACCGTCGTAAGGGCTATCATTACTATTAGTAGGGCCATTTTCTCAATTAATAAGAAATATCATCTTAAAGCAACACTCACTCACACTAGGAAGAATAAAAAATTAGAATTTTGGAAGAACATAAAAATAACAAAATTTCTGGTGGTGAAAACTAAAAGAGAGGGCCTTTTTTTATATACATGGAGAGAGAAAGGAAAAGGCTCCTGCCATCAAGAACCATCACAAATGCAGGAATAAATTTTGTAGTAACTTGCAAAACTGATGGATTAATTCATCATGAATGTAGAGGAGTTACACATTTTATATATACACATGTATAATCCTGCAGCCACATATCTGGCCTAGCCTAAAAAGATTAAGATGGGTGGGCCAAGAACCTGACCCAACCCCCACACTTAATCCAATCTAGCAAGCCTCAAATCTCAAGCCCAAGATCCACGGACCCGGACTCGGTCGGGCGATGCGCGCGCGTGTGACAATTTTTGCATAATCAACTTGGACTATAGTCTTGGCCCAAGTCCATCCTTGAAGTATCCATAACTCTCTTCCTTCGAAAAATTTGGATATCCCAGAGGGATTACACCCTTAGGCAAAAAATGGGATTTAAATATCCATCAATACTCTCTTCTACAATTTTACACCTTTCCCAACACTTATTTCATGAGGCCAACTTAATGAGTCAATTTCTCATTCAAATCTTAATGATTTTTTGTTATTTTTTTTGTAGTGTAAAGATTTCATTACAAATAATCTAAGAGTAATGCTAGAGACCTCAAATATTCTACCAAAAGTTTTACCAAATGTCTCACATGGGTGTGGGACCCACACAATGTGGGTCCCATATGGGTCCCACACCCATGTAAGACATTTGGTAAAACTTTTGGTAGAATTTTTGGGGCCTCTAGCATTTTTGATAATCTAAACCCACTTTAACTCACCTTAATTGAGGATTGACATCCACTTTAATATAGCATTAAAGTCCCCAAAAAAATCATTATTTTCCAATAATTCCCTACTTGAATAAAATTTGACCGAATAACAACAAACAAACAACGCTTAACAACAAAGACTTGGAGAAAGAGAGAGAGAGAGTGCAACGAAATAACTCTTGCATTGGAATAGGTAGCTTTTGGTTTTGAACCCTTCCTAGTGAAGTCTATCGGATTTACTAGCTTCCTAGTGAACTCAAAATCTTGAATTATGCTGCCGTTTATGTAAACCAAGACAACAAACCTTACACAGTTATCACTTCAACCGTCGTTTTGTTCTCACTGTTATGTCTGGTTGGACCCTGGAATATTAGTCTGGTTCAGTGAGTGGTTTAAAGAATTCGGCCTTGTCAATTCTTATAGAAGTAGCCCCACTTCACACTCACATAGATGACTCTATTTGATTATTCTGCTATACTCAGCTCAACATACTAGAATCATTAAAATCTCAGCTTAACCTATACCCTTGCAGATATCACTGACAAAGGAATGGTTAGAGGTTTAACCTCTTCAGTGACATACCACCATTACACGCAATTAGGTTTTCCCATTGAACCTAGATATTGGGATTTCCAATCAACTGGGTTGGGTTTTCATTCCGGTAACATCTTACACTAAAGGCCTTAAACCTATTCTTTCTGACAACTTCTCTATTAATAATCTATTTAACTTTTTGGTTAGCGGATCTGCAATGTTGTCCTTAGACTTCACATAGTCTAAAGTGACAACTTCGTTAGAGAGTAATTGTCCTATGAATTTATGTCTGCGACAAAGATGTCTAAACTTTCTATTATACATATTACTCTATGTTCGTCTAATAGCTGATTGGTTATCACAATGAATGCAAATGGCTAGCATAGGTTTCGACCAACGTGGAATATCTTCAACGAACTGGCAAAGCCATTCTGCCTCTTCCGTTGCTTTATCCAACGCTATAAACTCCGATTCCATCGTTGATCGTGAGATACACGTCTGCTTGGAAGACTTCCGAGACACGATTGCCCTCCAAGGGTGAACATATAACCACTAGTGGATTTCTATTACTGTTGGACATCTGGTGTAATATAGCCCATAATCCTGGGTGAAACAAAGATACCTTAACACTCGAACGATACCCTTCTAGTGAGTGGCATCAGGATTACTCGTGTATCTACTGAGCCTGCTAACAGAGTAGGCTATATCCAACCTTGTACAACTTATCAAATACATCAAACTCCCAATGACCCAAGAATATTTTAGTTGAGAAACACTGTCACCATTATTCTTGGTCAAATGTAGACTCAAGTTTACCAGTGTCCTAGACCCACTTGTATCTGATTTATCAAATTTCTTAAGTATTTTCTTAACATAATGAGATTAAGAAAATACAATACCATCAGATGTTTTGGTAATCTTAACACCCTTAATTACATCTGTAAGGCCCATATATTTCATGTC